TCTCCGTCACACAAATGGTGAAAATAGTTCATTATCGCAATGAATCGTCATAAATCTGTCACAAAACTCATCTTTATTCACATGCAATTATTTTAGACAATATATTTATTATGTGCCACATGCGTATTACTTATGTATGAGAAGAAAAACGACAGCTCCAGCCAGCAGTGTACATGTTGTGCAGCAGTCATTGTTTGTGCACGAAATTACATAAAAATAAAATGCCTACATGAACATTTTGACAGGACGAAATTAGCTCGGATAAAAACAGAAATATTACAAACTTACAAATCCACCAATTTCTTCAAAGAATTTTATAGCAGCTGGTGCACAGAAATAAGCAGATGAATCACGTGTGCCCTGATTAAAGAACTGATTGAACAAACTTTGCTGATAATTGTGACCTGTAATCAGTGGTTTGATAGACTTGTAGTGTTTTGGATGTACCCATAATATTGCACTCCCTCGAACACCGAACATCCACTTATGCAAATTACCTGGTATATAAATAAATTAAAGATCAGCAAAGAAGTACTCATTGAATTTTAAGGAGAACTTTATAAAAAATCACATATTTATACTATATATATATATCAACAAGTAGATTACTTTTTCCATGTTAGACTACGTGTAGAATATATGATGTTGCTGGGTAATATAAATAAAATAGTTGACTCACCAATGTAATAGTCAGCACCAAGCTCTCCCAGATTAAATTGTAGTTGCCCAATTGCTTGTGCCCCATCTATTACCACCTGTACATCTTTACTTTTGCAAACCTCAATGAGTTCTTTTATTGGCATTACCATGGCGGATGAACTAGTGATGTGATCAACGACTGCGACCTTGACTGACGGATTGTCCTCCAGGGCATCGCTATATTGCTGCATAATTTCTTCTTTGCTGCGAATCGGTAATTTGATCTCTAATTTAACGACAGTGGTTTCTGAAATGAGGAGTATGTATACATTTACAAAAATGGGTTAACGTTTTAATCTGGGATTGTTAGCTTGTACACAAATATTCTTTATATCATCTTATCCGTATTCTAGCATAACTGTGTTTTATATATGTATTATGTTTGGACAAAATAAATGGTCTTAAGCCAATTAACACGAAATTGCGAAATATTTGAAGAAGTAATATGAATAGTGATCACGTGGCGAGTAGTCACACCACATGTAATAACTTGGGTGAATATATCCTATACGTTCTACTCTCAACGTACCGAAGAGCGAACCAAGACTCATTATAAACACTTTATTTGGTGTTATATTTTCGCAATTGAATAAACCCTACCACATCAAAATAACACAAGGGATGAAAGATCATGTTCACAAGTTGCCCTGAAAGCTGTTGGACAGTAAATGATATGCAGAAATAAACAGCAAATGACCGCGAAAGAATAGAAAACCCAATCAAACTGCATAGCCATTATAACCAAAAATAGAAAATAGAAAACAAATTTTTACCTTCCAATACCGAATTGATTCACGAGAAATTTGTTTATTTCTGGTCACCTGATATTACAAATATGCCTGGATAATTCTCCTCCTTTCTCCTTCGTACGTTCATGGCGACCTAGTGCCACGATTGTCAAATTTGCTTGGACGGATTCCCAACTCGAGAACGGGCCAAAACACTCTTATTATCTTTTTCAGGTAAAGTTGTTGTCATTGTTATACGTGCATTATTTTGACGAAATGATCTGGTGGAAAGTAACTTTAAAAGTACATGTTATATGGTTTAGGGTGACATTGTGCATTGCTTACTAAGTTATAAATAGAATAAACAACAACTTAAAATGGTGATGCGAAATTTCGCTCACTTTCAGCAATTATTTAGTTCAGCCCATTTTTATGTCATGATAAATAACTCAGGATGACATTTTTTGCTAATTCTAAAACCGGAAGTAACTTGACACCTTTGCTTATAATAAAATGGATGTGAATTGTATGACCTTACAATAGCTGACCACTCTCATTCCAGATATTGAAAGTCAGGAAGATTTTTCTGGAAAAAAAGAGGGCGCTTCTGGCATGTGTGGTTGAGTTGTTTTTTGCTCTCCAGAGAACCAACGATTTTTTTTCGCCTATGAACTAAAATTGCTCTGAAACGTCAAGAAGGTTTCAACTAAGCCACAGTGTAAAGCCACAGGTTAAATATGGGACCAAAACAAGGACGGAAAAGTACACC